TATCTTACACCAGTTACTATTATTTTAAAGGTATATCCTTATCCAATTATTGAGAAGAAACGATCTAAAGAAAATTAGTTGAAGAAGAAAAGAGGTCTTTTTCTTCTTTAATCTACAAGTGAGTGGAGTGGAAAAAGGCGAAAAAGCTCAAAACCCAACAACCATTTCACACCAAAGTAAGAAAACATGGAAGAAATCTTAACACACACGGAACTTGTGACTGCGAAAAATCAATTTCCAGTTATGTTCTTACTGATCTTTCTTTTGTTTTTTTTTTTTCTTTCTCGGATCCAGCATGTAATAAGAAACTTCCATTGTATTCATGTACCGAGAGTGTTGGGTTGCTGAGAAAATGTTGACAAATTAAGAATAATAAACAAAAAAATCAAATGAAGTCTCCCTTTTTTTTTTTTTTTTCAAAAACCCATGTAATATATTCAACTTAAGGCTTCCAAAACACCATGTTTTCAGCTCCTTTCCACCGTTTTCTCAGCAACCAAACAGAGGATAAGACAAACAAAACCCAATCAGGGAACAAAGTTCTTCCTTTTACCCCGTAAGAAGTACAGCATCGAGACCAGATGAGGAAGTTCCGATCAAAAAAATAATCGAAATGTCCACATAGTATACAAATTACTGAACTTTCACTGTTAAAAAAAGAAACCATTCTCCACCGTCACGGTCAAATACTCGAGAAACCCTCCAGTACGAAGAACAAAAAAATACCCAAAAACTTGTCAAAGCGAATGCAGATCCCCCAAACACAAACAGAAATAAGAGATTAAAAAAACAAGAAAACTCGAATAAAATTTCCCATATCTTATCATCGTCAAACCAAAACAGAAACAAAGAAAGAAAGAGACAATACCAGCGAAGCATTTGGCTTGTAGGATTTACAGTACTCATCGAGCTGTTGAATATCTTGACAGAAGCTTTGCACATAAGGAAAAAACAGTCCAGTCTCTGCATACATTTCTCGAATATACAACAACAACAACACACAAAAAAAAAAATCCCCAAAACTTTATTCAGAAACAAAGCTTATATAACGAATTTCTGATTGTATAAACCGTAACAAATAGCAGTAATGGCTTCTTTTCTCTATAACAGAGCTCAGCAGAAGAGAGAGTAACCAAAACAGAGGAAGCCAAAAAAAATTAGAGGGAATGCAAGAGAGAGAACAGGAAAATGGTTGGCTTTGGGCCTTGATTCAGGCCTTTGAGAA